CACATGCACCCTATCATCAACTACGCTGTTACGCTGAGACCCGCAAAAAAATCAGTTGTCAATGGAGTGATATTGAAAACAAAGCAACATCTACTTACCTCCTTTGCCAAGAAGCCACTGAAAACTGGAATAACCAGCCATGTAATTTTGAACTGCCCCAGAATACCTGCACTTGTGAACCAAACAATATTTGGCCTTGGAAAGTTGATCTCATTGATATGGCTTGTAAGCATTTTTTATATTTAGGTTTTTATTTTTTGAGCTTTGTACTTATAACAGATTGATTGTACAGAATATTATCCTGGAAAATTAATAACCTTCTGTAGTTTTAACCCCAATGTCATCCGGCTGATCCACTATGGATACTTTGCTTGTTCAGCCAGCCAACCTTGAACCGCCATCTCTATCTGCTTGATCCAGTACCACCATTTCATATGGCAAACATCTGTAATACCAGCATCAGCATTTGTAAAAGCTCAGATTGTGTGGCTGGATAGCCAAAGCAAAAAAGCAATGTTCTCACAATCTGGAAAGTATTGAAGGCAAAACCTTTGTGTCCCTTTCAGATATAGTGTTGACTTATACTCTTGGATCCAAGCCCTTCAAAAGAAAGAACTTGACAGCATCTTACAGGTCACAGTACATGCCCAATGGGCAAATAAGTGCCCTCAATGCTTTGGGCCACCTGTGAATGAAGTCAAATCAAATGCAAGCAAGCCCGACTTCATAATTGCAATGGATGGAAATTTCCAGCAAAGGCAATCTTTAGATTGTACTACCCAGTGGCAATCATACAAACAATCCTTGAAGAATTTGTAGATCAAAAATTAGGGATACTGTACGATCTTGGATGCTATTTGGAGACACACATGAGAAAGGTAAGAATGTAAAAAATTCTGTCTGTCTCACAAAATATAGCCTGCTGCTTACTTGACATAATCCACGCCAACCTTTGGAGTTTTGGCAATTGGATCCTTTGGTCCCAAACCAAAGAAAATGGTGTCATTATCATCGGTTCAAAACCAAAGAACAAGCAGAGCTGGGTGAGCTGGGTAAAACCCGGTTTTGCCAATTTTTTTTTATAAAAAAAAACAGCCCTAACCATAGAGATTGTTTGTTTGTACTTGGGTAACTGTTGAATTTTTTCAGAAAATAGGTACCAAGTACCACACCAGGCACCTCCTGGCGGGTACCGGCGGTACTTTTTGCAGGTACCGCGGGTACCCCCCCTCTTTTTCTCACCTAGATTCACTCCCACAGTCCCAATTCACTTTTTGTATCTTTTTCACATTTATTATTTTCTCTCCCAGAGTCCCAATTCTCTTTCTTGATTTTTTAGTCACTTGTTTTCATTTTTTTCATATTTATTTATTATTTTTGGTGTTCACTCCCAGATTTGCAAGTCACTTCATCAAAGGAACTTGAATTCCACAGCAGACATAAACAGAAAAGCAAAGGCAATCACAAAATAACTTAAAAGAGAAAGAAGACAAAGAAAATCACCAATAAGCAGAATGGCTACCATGACTGGGCTAATCATGTTTCAATTCTTTCACCCATTTTGAAGGTTTTTGTTTGGTTTTCTAAGTGTTGAGCTTACTGGAAAAAGAGCACCAATTTTATTAATAATTGATTTGTTAGAAGTACAAAAAAGAAATGATGAGAAATGGGATCGGCATTAGACAAGTCAATTTTTATTTATGAGTTGCTTGAAAAGTTAGATATTAGATTGTCTTGATCCAAGGGAAGAGATTGCTTGTTGACAACTGATTGATGGACTCCCAAGTTGGTTCTAAATCCAAGGCTGCTAGCACTACTACTGCTGCTACTACTTTTGACCGTTGCTGATTGGTAGTTGACCAGGTGGCTTGGAGTTGCCAAATTTGGGGCCAATGGACACGCTTGAGGAATGGGAATAGGGTTTTGGATTGGTGATCCGATGCATGAGGAGAGTGATTTCAAAGATGGTGAGATGGCTCTCCTTTTGAACATTCCATACTTGTATTGTTCTGCTTCTTGACCTGGAGAATGGGACGTTAAGTTTAGGTAAGCTGATTCTACTCCTCTTCCAATTGTGGGGTGAATTATAATGATACAAGAGAAGGGAAAAGAAAACAAACATCTTTGCTTCCCGGTCTGATTGATTTCAGCAGGTCTGCAGCTACCGCTTGGTCCCGAACCACAAAACATCTTCCACTTTTGGATCTCAACCATTTTTTGATCTTCTGATTCTTCATCCTGGCTCATCACCAAGTGACATAGATCAGAGCAATGAGACTGATGGTCATCAGTGGGCTACTCCTTTTGGCCGTGCAGTTGGTTTATTGATTGATTGATCTACTCGGCCTGAAGAGTCAATCAATCGATCAATAAACCCCTGATCCCCCAATCCCTCCCCCCCACCCTATAGCAGGGCTGTGGGGCGGTACCCGTAGCGGTAACCGGGTACCACCTAATTTTTTGCCAACAAACGGCACCCGGCACCGCACCTGTCACCACCTGGAGGGTGCTAGGTGGGTGCGGGTGGTACCCGCCAAGCAGTATTAGGTACCTAGCTAACAAATAATCTCTACCTAACCAACCTAAACCCAAAACCTAAAACCTAAAACCTAACCCTACACCCTACACCCTACACCCTAAACCCTAAATGTAAACCCTAAACCCTAAACCCTAAACCTAAACCCTAAACCCTAAACCCTAACCCTAAAGCCTAACCCTAAACCCTAAACCCTAAACCCTCACCCTAACCCAAACCCTAAAACTAACCCTAAACCTAACCCCTAACCCTAACCCCTAATCCCTAACCCTAACCCCTAAACCATCCCACCCCCATTGAAGCGGGGGCCATTGGATTTCTGACAACTATGCCAGGTCTTCAATGGCCCCATAATACCCAGGCAGATGAAAAACTACGCTCAAACCTGTCCAGGTATTGTGCCTCTCCTTGGCTAACCCTAACCCCAAAAACCTGCCCTCTAACCCCCATCAGGGGACGGGGCCAGTGTCAGTGTGTACATCAAACAACACAGTCTACACAATGAAATACATATTCTCTGAGTATGTAAAGTAGTTACCATCTGTAAGCAATCTACATTTTGAGATGCTTCCATCCAACTGGGCTTTAGACAACCCTACCAAAAGTGAGATTTAGTGATAACTCCTTAAACATTGAGTTGAGGTTTTTGTTGCATGACTCATTATGAAGTTTTCAAAAGTTGTATGCACATTCAAAGTGTTAAAAGACTCTCTTAATGACTTTTATACTAAATCATTGTTTTAAATCTGGGAGGACCAGCAGATAAAGGAAGATTGATTTCGCTTTTTATTAAGCAGTTATGTACAACCAAAATCTGACATGCCTCTGATTGAAAATAATGATTATGTGTATAAGATCATCAAGAGTTTCAATTTCCATTTGCTATGTGTAATTTCTCTAGACCACTTTCATAATCAGCACATGTGATAAAACTGATATTCATTTGCCAAAGGAAGTCTGAACTGGAAGACACTGAAGGTCAAGGGGAGATAAAGCCCAGGACAAATAAAGCATTCCAATGGATTGTTTTGTCCTATCAAAGTCTTGTTCTTTCTAAGAGCCAAGCACTGAAAAACATTGTGGATTTTTTGCTAATAAGCTATGCTGTTGCAATATTAAAACCACTTGAAGATACTCTTTGGATTTGTATACACACCAGTTTGTGTTTCAATGAAACAAGAAGTCTTCACCTACAAATATGATTGAAGTCTTGGTAGTTTGTTTATTCAAATGAAGAGCTTTAAGAAATGTTTGAGAGCTTTTGAGGCCGGGGAAATAAACCCACTCTGCAAGTAGCATCCAACAGGCTTTCAAAAACCTTAGTAAGATGTGAAAGCTGAAGTGCCCAACTTGTCTGTTTTTGTTAACAACAGTTGGGGAAAAAGTTTCAATTTTGTGTAACAAACTCTTTACTCAACTTGTTAATTACTTAATTGTGATTGGCAAGTTGCAGTGGTATCAAGTGAAGTAGCAATACTGATCTTGGTCAAAGGAAAAATGTTACCTGGTTGATCCTGCCAGTAGTCATATGCTTGTCTCAAAGATTAAGCCATGCATGTCTAAGTATAAACAACTATACAGTGAAACTGCGAATGGCTCATTAAATCAGTTATAGTTTATTTGATGATACCTTACTACATGGATAACTGTGGTAATTCTAGAGCTAATACATGCTGAAAAGCCCCGACCTTTGGAAGGGGTGTATTTATCAGATAAAAAACCAATGGCCTTCGGTCTCCTTGGTGACTCATAATAACTTCTTGAATCACATGGCCTTGTGCCGGTGATCCTTCATTCAAATATCTGCCCTATCAACTTTCAATGGTAGGAAATGATCCAAGAACTATCACATATACAAATTGACTGTACTGAATCAAAGTCATGATCAGTTTCCGATACAATTATGTGACAACTGTCTAGAAAACTCTACAGTAACTGACCGTGTCTCATCTGAGTAAATGCCACGTGCTAAGCGAGACTAAGTCAGAAGAGCGCCAAGAAAAACTGAATCTACTAACATAATCAAATTAGATCAAGGATTAGTAATTGATCTAGCCCTCACTGCTACCAAAGAGACCATTACCACTTGGCAAAATATCAAATGAGCACACCCCACTCAAAACTGAGAACCCGAGGCACAAACCCCGATCTCCAACAACTGAGTAGAATGTTGACCAGCTGAAAGTTACGGACTATAAAACACTGCTATAAATCAAAAAGCGAATAAATCAGCCCCTATCCACCAGCTCATCCAGACTCAATAACCTACTCTGATTCTACACACTGACGTCTCGACTCTAAAAATCAAAAGACACAAACCTGTAGAAAGCAGAAGTAAGCTTCCCACATAACCAGATCATGTGCAAACTGTTGTCTAACGTACGACCGTATTGATCGTTCTGTAGGAAAACCACTCACCAACAACCAAGATTACTTACACCTAATAAGTAATCCATTAGATGGCATGTCTAACAGTGAGTTATCAAATCTAACATAACAATTAAAGCCACAAAGAGAATCACTTGGCTACATCTACATCTAATACCACACAGTCGAGCTTCCAGGTTCCATCCCTAACACTCCTAGTAAGAGAAAGGGAACCTACGACGAAACCCCCATCAAAATTGAGGGGTCTCCCATGAAGCCAACTGAAGTCAAAAATCATCCTGCCAAGAGGATCATGTTGGTGCTAGGGAAAGACCCTGATTCCAACATGCAAGACGCAAACCCGGAGAACTTACCTTTCGATCCGGAAGACATTGATATCAAGCCAGTCATCCCGATGCCAAACACCCTCTGTGACTCCTGGGAAAAGATAAGAGCTCAGTTACTCCGACGTTCCACCCCCCACATGCGATTCCGAGCCATGTGGGACGGGTACGGCCACAACAACAGAAGTAAACTCAAAAACCAGAAAGAACTCAATGTCATGATCATCATGATCCGAGCACTAGGAGAGGGGAAATAGGTCGTCGATAAACCCAATATATCACTCCACTCGGCTCTCAGAGAACTTTGACTCACCCCGAAACTCCTCCAACAAGCCAAAGATCACGTCGACTGGCCGAATGAATATATTATTCATCTCTCCCCAACTGACGCGCTCCAGCTCCCGAGCTTCGATAACCGCTTGCAAGGAGTCTTCTACGGCACTGAAGGCAGAAATTCAGCCTACGTCTGGCATCTCATGCCGATTTTCAAAGCCGAGGACAATCACTTTGCCGCACGCTATCTCAAGTTCAAAGCCCACTTACCTGCCTGCGGCCCAATCAACCCCAAAGACGACAGTGACGACACCCTCACTAAGTACGCCTTGAAGATTGACCAGGGATACGGGAACCAACCTCGTTGGACCGACATTACCTGCATGCGAATCAAACATAACGGAGAAAAATTAACGGTAACCTGACCTATAACGGCGACCTTACCTTTTTCATCCCATCGATTCCCACTGGGGAAGTGCCGATGAGGCTCTGGAAGAACCCCAACAACAATCACTTACCAGGCTTAGTCTGTGGGCACCCGGTCAAACTCGAACTCCTCCCGGCCTGCCATACATGCGGCTGTGAAGACCACGACGTCGCCCACTGCCTCTACACCGACCATCTCTCGGGTGCGCCTTCCATACCAGAAGAGTCGGATAACAAGATCATGGAAATCAGCCATTTTCCTGAACCGATCTCCAAAAAGAAAAAGAAAGCCAACAAAGCAATCTCTGAAGTACCCACTATTGTCCACCACAGTGCCAAGCAGCGTGGAAATGGTCGTCCAGTGGCTTCTACCTCCCGTGAGTAATCGTCCCTTATAACGAAACCACATTCCACGGCTCTAACTATCCTACTGCTCATACAATAGGTGGCAAGGCGCCGGCTAACCGAGGAGGTAAGTCATAAACCATGGATACCTGATAAACACTCTCAACACACCCAGAAATAGGCAAACATCCTACACTTTACCTATCCACTGTCGTAAAATGGAGTTGTATCATATCCTCTATACAAATACATCAAATGATAACGTTGTATTAGCATACCTCTTCTGAGCCCTTTATGTCTTCTTCTTTTTCTGATTAACATCTTGTAACAACATGTGATTTGGCCAATCAATATCAATACTCACCTATTGAATCAGCCTCCAATCAATCTACGCTCAAAGAACCCTTTTTCAAAAACACAATCGACTAGAAACATGAATGTCAATACTCTACTGTTTTCTCTCTCTCTATCACGATCCATATCAATGTAAATAGCATGACAGATAGAGATGGTCGAAGGGTATCCGTCGCGGATACCCGTTATCCGCTGGCGGATACCCGCCACTGCCAACGGATACCCGCCAATGGGTGCGGATTCGGGTGCGGATGGCCCCTTTTCCGCAAAAAGTTGGCGGGTATCCGGGTATCCCAAAGGATACCCGCGGCCGGAAGGGGAGATGGCCGGCTGGAAGGAGACCCTTCCAGCTGGCGAGGTACTTGTACCTCGTCGACCGGAAGGGCTTCCTTCCAGCCGTAGAGGTACAAGTACCTCGTCGACTGGAAGGACACCCTT